TGGTCGCACGAGAGCTCTCTTCTTTCATCAATTCCAATAATCACAAGAGTTTGATCATATGATGACACTGTTTTGATTTGTGGTATATCTTGGGGTTCATTGATTCAGTGGAAATTCGACTTTTAGCTAAACATTTGCGATGAGTGCTTACAATTAGTGAAATATCAGTGCATTGTGTAATGTGTGAATCGCTTATTTATTATTCGATCGGCGATTNTCAAGAGGATCAGCGGCTAAGGGATTGAATTTAGAGGAGTTCATCGAATTTGTTCTTTGCAGATACCAACAATGAAAGTATTCACAGTGGGCTTAGATGAGAAGCCTCCAATAAAAGATGCCGAAAAAGCACTCGAATCACCAGGACCTATACCCGGAACACCTCCACCAATAATCACGCTCGAGAAGAAGAGTTCAAACTCATGGAAGGTTCGATAAATTCACTTTATCTGAATCCCTAAAAATATTTTCAACTTTTGAGAGCAGTTTGCACATCTTGAAAATTTTCTTCGGATCACAAGTAAAATGTTTGAAGAGATGACGGAACGAATTAATGCGAAACGGGGCGACTTCACTGAAATTTTGCCGTATTCTTCAACGAAATTGCATCCTGCAATTCGGTTTTGAATATTACAAAATGCATCCATCGAATGTTTGTAAATATATTGTGGCACTGTGACAACATGATGAAATAGATGTTTATGAATTATTAAATTTTATTTTCACCGACCGCATCGACAGAAACTGACTATGAGAAGAAAACTGTAACGGAAAAAACGTGATTTGCCTTCGACTTGACGAAGGTGCAACCAAAATTTAAAAGCTTAATCATGACAGCAGTGATTGATCGAAACGTTTCAGCGATATTTGATGTGTATGCTGACAGTTTTCTTGGTTTTGCTGTTCGCGATCATACTCAGTGAACTTGCATACAATCGGGCACGAGACGAGAATTATCTCCGCTTGCGATGGTATTCAAACTTGCTCATACATTATACCCTTTGAATGACACTTTTGCGTTTGCTCTCAATTGATTCAAATGAAACAATTCAATGAATTATGCCCTCTCAACAAAGTATGACTTCAGGGCTGAATTAAGACAACGAATGGCCATGAACATGGGCTACGAGAACAACTACAATAATCTTCAACCTCAACCACAACCGCTTGTTCAACAAATCTATCGACCTGAGTAATCGAATTTCTTAAATCACTGCATCGTATCTGATTCAACGAACGCTGAATCTGATCCTTGAAAGACGAGGATTCCCTGGATTACTCCCCTCCAGCTAATCCCGAATATCCGGATTTATTCTCCTTCAAAAATTATTTCTTGTTCACAAGTCCAGAAAATTCTTATGCATAAAATGTGAAATGCAACATTC